TTCTTTTCCGAATTTTTAATCTCGGTTCGGTGTTTTTGTCGGTTTTTTGTCTGTTTTTTACCGGTAGTCTCGGCGGTGCGAGTTGTTTCAGTTCTGGTCGGTTTCAAAGTTCCTTGCCTAGTTTCGCCCGAAGGTCGTCTGCCTACTGTTGTGAAATTTCACTCGGACGACGAGTCTTCGTGAAGTTGATTTGTTTGGTTATGTTGCGTTTGAACACCGTCAGGCGAAAAATAATTTCGTATTATTCGACCGATTTACCGACGGTTATTCAACGGTTTTTTGCGGATATTAGAGAAGAAATGGCGATGACGGAGGAGGGAGGAGCGTGTGGAGATGCGCCAACAAATGTATCGTCGTCGGTATATTCGACCGAGTTGTACCGAAAAAATCGAAATAAAATATTCATAAAAGTATTTTGTCACTACCGAAGTTTTGATGTCGGATATTATTTTTGCTGTTCCTATTGCTGTCGTCATCAAAAGATACAACAACAACATCATCAACAACAACAACAACGTCAACAACAACAACAACATCAACAACAACAACAACATCTTAATCATCGACAACAACAACTTCAACAACAATATCCCCAACAACGTCAACAGCAACACCAACATCAACAACTACTGCTACTGCTGCTTCAGAACCATTTCATCTCAGCGCGAATTTCTTCGACTAATAAAAAATCAATGTTAATTATTATCATAATTAAATCAACTTTGATAACAACAACAACAACTACATCAACAACAACAACAACAACAATAATAATAACGAAAGTGATAACATCCAGAGGCTTCAACCGACACCGAACTTGCTCAAAAAGTCATCACAGACGTCGTAATAATAATAATAATAATAATAATTATATTAATAATAATCATAAGAATAATTATTATTATTGTTATTATTATCATTATTATTGTTATTATTTTGAGGCTGGTGATGGCAGTTACAACAAAAACAATAATAATAATAATAATAATAATAATAATAATAATAATAATAATAATAATAATAATAATAATAATAATAAGGATAATAATGACGAGGTAGATACTATAGCCCATGGCTATGCTGATGATTGCAAGGATGGTGATGACGTAACTGTTGAGTATGACGTCACTGATGATGGTGATTAATGGTGATGGTTGTGGTGGTGGTTATGGTGGTGATGATGATGAAGACGACGAAGAAAACAGGAAGAAGCAATTTCTTCACGGGAAACCTTCTGCCACATTTCACACTTGCAAATTCTCCTAAGTGTCTGTTTCTGTAAACAACAACAACGACAATGACGTCATCATCAACAACAACAACGACGTAATCATTATCAACAACAACAACAACAACGATGATGACGTCATCAACAACAGCATTGATGTCACGAGAGCAAAATCGTCAAAATCAGCACTGTCAAAATTTTTAACAGCTAATTATCCACAACAACAACAACGACGACAACATCATCATCATCACTCTCATAAACATCATCATCATCATAAACATCATCATCATCATCACCACCATCATTATCACCATCAGCAACAACAACAACCAAAGAACTTTTAAACGAGTGATTCATGCGAATGTTGTCAAATCAAATATTAGCCACGTTATCACATACATCTAATCACCGTTATTATTATTTATTATAATTATAATAATAATAATAATTATTATTATTATTATTATTATTATTATTATTATTATTATTATTATTATATGGTCATCTCCATTCGTTGGAAACTTTTTTCCTTCAAAAATTGAGCGTATTGGAAAATTTTTGTTTGGCCAAGATAAGGAAGACTTCAGAGGAATAATAATAATAATAATAATAATAATAATAATAACAATAAAATAATAATAAAGAGAGAGAGAGAGAGAAAGTTTGATAAGTGGAATGAGGAGTATTAAAGGAGTGACAAGAAGAGATCGAGAAAAAAGAGAGAGTGAGAAATAAAAGGAATAAGAAAGAAATTGAGAGAACAAGAGAGAGACGAAAAAGCGATGAAAGAATGAAAAAATTATTGCTGTAGTTAATGTTATGAAAGAATAATTTCGAAACAAGCCCGAATAACTGATAGAACTAGAAGTATTATCGCCACCGAGCAAGCAAGTAAATGTGAAAAATGAATGAATGTGATGCGACTGCTGTAGCTGTGGTTGTTGTCGCTACTGCAGCTGTTGCTGCTGCTGGCTGATGACGACGACGATGATGATGAGAAAATACACAGCCCATTATCAATAACCACTTAACTGTAGAAATTTGTCGAAACTGAATAAACACCATCGATTAACATGCACACTTGCATATGCACACACACACACGCATACACACACACACGCATACACACACACACACGCGCGCGTATATACTTATATGTCATTAATACTTTAATGAACTTCATCCGTACAATCCTCTCTCGCTTACTTTTTACTCTTTCATTTTCTTTCTTTTTAAATTTTTAAATTTTTTGGGGGTTTTATTCTCACACAACCACGTTTTCTCCATCTCTCTCTCTCTCTCTCTCTTTCTGTCTATTTGTCTCTCTCTCTCTCTCTCTTTCTTTCTCTCTCTCTCTTTCTTTCTAGGTCAGGTTACTTTCTAGGTCAGGTTCAATTCTCACAACACCACATGTATTCTTCCTATTTCTTTTGCTTTCTTTCTGCAGTTTTTCATTTCATCAGGTTCACAAAGTTTAAATAATTTTTAAATCTCTCTCTCTCTCTCTCTCTTTCTCTCTCTCTTCTCCCTCTCTCTCCTTTCTATCTCTCTCCGTCAAACCCATCTCTACCGACCGACCGACCGACCCAGACTACCAAAATGTCACCATCCCAAACATCGTTCTCTACTTACTGCTCTATTCAACAAGTCCTATCTACGTAATCATCCACTTCATAATTTTTAATATTGTTGTTGCTATTGTAGCTAATACAAAAAAGACATTATCGTCATCGTTATTATAAGTGTGACGACAACAACATCAACACATCCAACAACAAAAACAACAACCATTACAACCGCGAAAATAACAACAAAAACCGCATCATCATCAACAACAACATTAACATCAGCAGCAACAAAAACAACGAAATTTACATGAGAAAGCACGTTCAGCCATTTAAGTCATCGTAAATCGTAAGCAACGATTAATAACAACAACATCATCAACAACGACAATAACAATAGTATTACTACCGTCACTACTACTACAACTACTGTTGCTGCTACGACTACTGTTGTTGTTGTCGCGAGTACAGTTGCCTCTAAAGCTACTACTATTAATACTTGAAAAATAATTATAAGGATGATAATAGAAATGAAAGGTAATAATATAAATGCTAACAAGTCGCATCTTTTTGCTTTTCTCGGCGGATCTTAAAATTGAAAGTAAAACTCTGTAAACAAATTTGTTTTTTATAAACAACAACATCAACAACAACATCAATGGCAACAACATCAACCACAACAACAACAGCAGCAGTAGCAGCAAAAACATCAACAACAATCTTTCTTACTTAACGGCTAATTTTTCATTCAAATTTTAAAAGAAAACAACACTTGGAAAGAAATTTCTTTCATACAGACTTGCATACACAGACACATCACATACACACACACACACGTGCACGCACGCACATACACATATGAATATGAATACATCTATACATGCACAGACACATACTAACTTACATACATACCTACATTACATACCTACATGCATACATACATGCGCACATACATGCATACATACATGCGCACATACATGCATAAACACATGCGCACATACATACAAACAAACATACATACATACAAACAAACAAACAAACATACAAACATGCTTACATACAAACTCTGTAACATTGAGGTATGAGTCTATAGATCCCAAATTAATTGACCTACTGAACCATTTCAATTGCGGGTCAAAGGTCACGTTTTTAATAATAACAACAACAACAACAATAATAATAAATAATAATAACATGTTATTATTATTATTATTATCTTGTTATGTTGAATGTCGTCGTCGCTCTATACAAGTATTTTTTTCAATTTCAGTCATTCATTCGTTTAATCAACCGTTCGTTCTTTCATTTACCATTCATTCATTTTTTCGTTCAATCACTCGTTCATTCATTCATTCATTCATTTATTCACTCACTCATTCAGTCAGTCAGTCATTTTCTTGAATACGGTCGTGAGATTTATCATCTAATTTGAAAAATGTTCTCGTTCAGGAAAATTATTATTTGTATGTACGTGCGTGTGTGTGTGTGTTTGTGTTTGTATGTGTGTGTGTGTGTGTGTGTGTGTATGTATACACAAACAAACTTACACGCACACACGCACACACGCACACACACAAACGAAATCACATCATCATCATCATTCTCATCCATATTATTAGCACAATTATTACCACAGACTTCTTCTTCTTCATCATCATCACTATCGTCGTCGTCGTCATCATTATCATAATTCAAGATCGCTTACATATGGAGATAAATCTGATATCATATTCACATATATCAGACAAACAGACAGACACACACAGACACACACACACACACACATAATTATATATATATCCTATATATTCATTTCAATAATCACGGCGCTTTTTATTGTATGTAATAATAATTATCTGTTTCATAATTTCATACTTAATTATAATTAATTGTTAACAATTATAGAACAAATAATAATAATTATAATTATTAATACAATTTCAGTTTAATGTTTCATAATTCTTTTTACCCAACTCTAATTAACACAAGAACTCATCGCTTTTGCATAATTTGTTATAAAATTTATTATAACCATAATTATGATGATTATTATTGTTATTCTTTAATTATTTTCATCGTTTATAATTATTACGTCATGATGACGTCAATGAACTTTGTAAATAATTTTCGCTACGCCGTTTTACTTACTTATAATACCTTGATTTATCATTCATATTAACATTTTGGATTGACACACACACACACGCACACGCACACAAACGTAACTATGTACATAACAACAATTATAGTTATAATTAAATATAATTAATAAATAAATAATTTTATTTATACTCTGGAGATTGTAGATATATATATATATATATATATATAAACTTATGAAAATTATTTTTTGTGTGATTATAATTTGTTTATTGATTAACTTGATTATTATTATTATTATTATTATTATTGATATTTATTATTAATATTCATTTAACCATTATTCATATTATTTATTATTAATAATTATTTATATTATCATTTGTATACATTATTAAATGATATTACCTAAACTGCATGCTGGCTTTTTAAATTATTTTTCCTATGGATGTGTGTGCGTGTGTGTGGTGTGCGTGAGTGTGTGCGTGTTTCCAAAATGACAATTGGTACACACACACACCAAAAAAAAAATTTCATTAATTTTTTTAAACTTTTTTTCACGAGTTTTTTGAAGGAAAACAAAAAAGCTAAGTAACTTAATTTACTTTCTTCATCATCGACATCATCATCATCATCACCATCATCAATTTTACCATTCTTGCTTCTCTTCACTTAATAATAAATAATATCGTTCGTTTTTTATTCAATCACTCGTTTATTCATTCATTCATTCATTCATTCATTCATTCATTCATTCATTCATTCATTCATTCATCCATTCGACTTTTATTGTCTTCTGATCTACATAACAATATAACATTTTTTATTCTCATATATATATATATATATATATATATATATATATATATATATATATATATATATATATATATATATATATGCAACTGTTGATGAAAATTACAGCATGTTCTCCGTTATGTAGATTGATGTTTTTTTTTTCGATAGATGGTAAATCATTGTCAAGTTTCTTGATTTCAAAACCAAAATTCTCATTTTTTTTTAAGCATGGTAGAGCATAAAAGCTTTTTTCGGTAGTCCTATACCATCTTCGCTGTTCGAATGGCCAGATGCTCATGTATGCATATACTGTGTCTTCACAATGTTAATTCTTTGATTCCTCTGTTTCTAAAATTATTAGTGGGAAAGGATTCCAATTGCCAGTTGTTGAATATTCATTATTGGATGTCTTTATTCTTTGAGTATTGATTCGTCTAGTCGTAAATTGTAATGATTGTTATTGTAATGTAAGATTTCAGCATTACTGTCCCAGATTTGTCTTGTAATTTTAGTTTTGTGTTTCTCTTTCTTGTGATTCTTTATAGCGCCAGTTTGTACGTGCATCGTGAGTCTTCTCGATAGCTTGGTCGTCGTCGTACAAATATATCCGGAATTAAAGTACCCAAACTCACCAATATTACAGTTGAACAAATATATTAGATGGCTACGACCCATTATCGTCCATTCTGGCCAACTGGTGCAATTGTTTTTCATCACAAGAGATGACGTTCTTTGGTCGGAGTAGTATATTAGCAGATTAATACTATCACTCTCGTTGGTTGCTTGGACGTTACATCTTTTCCGCCGGAAAAATTAAACATGAAGTTAATTAGCACGGAACATGCTGTGATTTTCATCAATAATTGCATCTCTGACAGTCTTAATCATACATACATATATATATATATTTATATATATATTTATACGTATGTGTAATTTTTTTAATATTGCTCAAAAATAAATGCGTTTTTTGATTTAATAAAAATAATAATATGTAATAAAATAATGTTGATAATAATAATTTCTTGCGCTATATAAATTCTAGTGAACGAATGAATGAATGCACTGATTGATTGAGTGAGTGAACAACAACAAAATCCTCGCCAAAAAATTTTATGAAAGTTCAAAACTCAAACGAAAGATAACCAAACAAGTAAATAGTCAAAGCAAAACAGTAAATTTTTAACTATAATAGGTTCCATTTTATTCAGCTGATGGCTGACCGAGCTTCACAAAAACCTGAAGAGGAAAATAGACGGAGAAAATTTATAACCTAAATCCGTACAAAAACTATTCGTAATTATTATTATTATTATTATTATTAAATAAATATATTCTCATTTATTAATAAATATATAATTTGGCAAATTTAAACGTTTAAATTTTCCTTCTTACTGTCTTCGTCTCTAGAAATTGGTCCAGACCATTGATTCCACTGGGTTAACAAAATATAATAATTGTAATAATTAATAATAAATAATATTAATAATTATTATAATAATAATTTATATTAATAATAATAATCTAACAATTCTCTGCCCTGTCCAGACATTTTGTAGCCACCAAAAGGCGCCTGAGCCTTGAATTCGTTATAGCAGTTCACCCTGTTTTAATATTATTATTTATTATCACACCATGTTTACTAGCCATTCATTCATTCGCCACACACACACACACACACACACACACACACACACACACACACACACACACACACACACACACACACACACACACACACACACCAGGCACACAAACACAGTCACAAACACACACACAGTCACAAACACACACACATACCAAACAGTGCCGGCTTCCAGTGAATTGGAAACGGAGATGGCCGTGTTGATGTCCTTAGTGAAGACTGCGGCCGCCAGACCATAGTGAGTGTCGTTCGCCAACTCAACTACCTCGTCTAGGGTCTTGAATTTCAGGATGGACTGGACCGGTCCGAAGATCTATGGATGGATTGATCGACCGAATAAATAAATACATGGATGAATAAATGAATGAATGAATGAATAAGTGAATGAACGAACGAACGAATAAATGAATGAACGAATGAATGAATGAATGGTGGATTGATGAATAAAAGAACGAACTTCTTCCTTGGCAATCCTCATGCTATTCTTGACATCAGCAAACACAGTGGGCCTTATGAAGAACCCTTTGTCGCCGATCCTCTCCCCACCGCACAGCAACTTGGCTCCCTCACGCTTGCCCGATTCGATAAGCTCCAGGATCTTCTGCATCTGCTCACCGTCGATCTGTTTCGTTTCGTTTTGTGGAATTGTAAGTAGTGGGTGGTGCATAGGAAAAGTAGAGAGTGGAATGAAAATTTTATGTTGTTTTCAAAGGAAAGAAAGAAAGAAAGAAATATGGTTAAAAAATGGTTAAAGATCAAAGAAGATAGGAAAAGAAATAGAGAGAGAGAGAGAGAGAGAGAGAGAGAGAGAGAGAGAGAGAGAGAGAGAGAGAGAGAGAGAGATAAAAAAAGAGAGAGAAAGATATAAACAAAGATAAATGAAAAAGGGGAGAGAAAAAGTGAAAAGATGCAACCTGCGGCCCATTCTCGTTGCTGGCGTTGAAGGGATCTCCGACGGATTTCTTGCTGGCGAGTTCCACACTCTTCTTGAGGAACTCGTCGTAGATGGCTTCATGCACGTAGGTCCTGGACCCGGCACAGCAGACCTGCCCCATGTTGTACATCACCGCGTCGTGCGACTTCCGCACGGCGTAGTCCACTAATTGTTAAGAAAGGTTTTTGTATGTGGTTTGTATGTGGGTGGGTTTTGAGGAGTTTTTGGATGTGTGCGTGTGGCTTGTGTGTGTGTGTGTGTGTGTGTGTTCTATAAAAAATTATAAAAAGCCAGGTGGCTTACAATCGGCGTCAGGGAATATGATGTTGGGGCTCTTACCCCCTAACTCTAATGTGACCCTCTTCAAATTCGAGGTGGCTGCCCCTTGTAAGATCAACTGCCCCACCTGTGTGTGTGTACGTGTGTGTGTGTGGTGTGCGTGTGTGTTTGCGACGTATCGTCGATCATTCATCATCATCACCATCATCATTCATCTTCCTCATCATCGCCATCACCACCGTCATCGTCATAACCTCAGTAGACCCGGTAAAGGTGATCTTGTTGACGTCTTTATGGTTGACTAGGGCAGCCCCCGCTGTTGGCCCGTAGCCCGGCAAGATCCCCACAACCCCCGCTGGAAACCCCGCCTGTATGTTATACGTGTGTGAATGTGTACGTATGTGTCTGTGCGTGTGTGTGTGTGAAACTGTGTGTATGCTTGACTATGTACACAAGTGTAAATATGTGGAGTGCACTAAAACCTCAACAACAAAACCGTACATCAAAAGAGCAGCAAGCAGCAGAACAACATCACCGCCAGACAACCACAACAACAACCACGTGACCTCCTTGATCAGGTGACCCAGATAAACAGCTGTCAGTGGCGTTTGCTCAGCTGGCTTCAGGATGACCACGCAACCAGCAGCCACTGCTGGGGCGATTTTGCAGATAGCCAAGTGGATTGGGAAATTCCACTGCAATTTTTAAAAGTTCAACAATTTTTTCAATACTATTATCACATAATTATTTATGTATTGGTAGAGCAGAGGCAGTGCTCGAGTTTGAATGCAAGGAGTTCCCTGCCTATACAATGTCTTGTTGCCTGCTGATTTGATGCATGTGTCGTGCCTACAAGAAGTTTAGGACCAATGACGAATAACATGAAAAGAACAAGCGCTATATAAATGACAGTGAATGAATGAATGAACGAATGAACGAATGAAAGAATGAGTGAATGAAAATACCGGTGAAATGGCGCCAACAATGCCAACAGGCTCCCTTCTAGTGTAGCAAAATAAATCAGAGCCATCTTTAAATAAATTACAGAAAATTATGACTTAATTGTTATTCAATAATTCAGAACAATAATGTAAACTCTTTTATTATTCAGAGAAAACCAGTAAAATCAAAATTAATCAAAATAAACTATGTCAATAAAATGTTAAAATTAGTTAAATATAATTAAAATAATAAAATAATATAAATAGTCATCAACGCTCGTTATCCTGAAATAAGTGCCATGATGATAGCTTGTATAAAAATTGGAAACATTGTTTCTATCGCAGTACAAAGCATAAGATGACGATATTACACTATTGATTAAGTGAATAATAATAATAATGACGACCTTTAAGAAACAAAACAAAACGAATTTTTATTGATCAACGAACATTTCAGTACTGACCAGTAAAATTTTTTAAATTTTGCCTGGTCTGGTCACCAAAACACACACACACACACACGAACACACACTAACACACACACACACACACTAACACACACACTAACACACACACACACACACACACACAAACATACCAAGAGGAATGGTGTCTCCATTAATTTTGTCGGCCAAACCAGCAAAGAACCTACAATGCCCAATGGTACCTTCCAAATCTTCATAATAGGCTTGCAGGAAGGGTTTACCAGTGTCCATTGTCTCCAAAGTCTGTAGTTTTTGTATCAGTAATTGTCACTTATAAAAATTTCACACATACACACACACGCACGCACACGCACACAAACATGTACAGACACAAACTCACAGCCAAAATGGTTCTATCTCTCTCCATAAGATCGGCTAGTTTAAAGAGCAAAGCTCCTCTCTGAGTTGTATCCATTCTTCTCCAAGCTGAATTTCTTTTGAATGCCATCTTTGCTGCAGCTACTGCTTTCTCCACATCCTCCTGAATAAATTATGATAATGTATGAATAAATTATGAATTGATTATGAATGAATTGTGATAAATTATGATAGTGAATTATAGTGAATCACTAAAATAATGAATATGTAAATATAATGAATATAATAACATAATGAATATACATTATGTAATAACTATTCATAATTATAAACACAAATAAATATTATTATAATTATTATAATTATTCAAATTTGACCTTGTCAGCTTCTTGAATGTCAGCTAACTTTTGTTCGTTGCTTGGGTCAATGGTTGGAAAGGTCTTCCCACTGACAGAGTCAACATATTCATTGTTGATGAAGAGCTAGAAAAATGAAAGATTGAAATATTCACTCATTCACTCTCTCATTCATTTATCTATTCATTCCTTCAATCCATCATTCATTTACTTATTCATTCATTATTCATTCATTCACTCATTTAGTTATCAAGCTATCTATTTATAATTTTTTATATTCATTTATTTTTGATAGCTTATGCATTCAATCATTCCTTCATTCATGCATTCATTCATTCATTCACTCTTTCATTTATTTATCTATTCACTGACTCATACTAACTTTAGTGTACTCAACTTTCAGGCCAACAATTGGTTTTGGGACCCCAGCCATTGTCTGATCAACAACTGAAAAGGAGAATATTAAAAAGTTGTTAATTGAATCAAATAAAACAATTAATTATTAAATTAATGAAAAACCAAAACTTAATAAATATGGATGTAAAATGTGAATGCCTTTTTTAAAATAGTACGGCAGGGTAAGGCTGAGTAGTTGAATTTGTCCTTATTTACAACACTTAACTACACAGGCATTCATTTTTCATTTTATCATCGGTTCATTTCATTTTAAGAAGTTTAATAATAATACGACAATGAACAAATAATTAATAAAACTATAGAAAATTAATAAAACTAATAAAATTTTTAAATTGATTTTGAAAAAAACAAACCTTTGCAGTCAAAAACTTGAACGAATGTCTCGAACTTCTTTAAAAAAGAATCCGAAACCGTCAAGCCGATAAACGAGGAGTTAGCTGTGGATTTAACTAAGCAAAGATATAACAATATATATCAAAATATATACATACAAACATACATACAAACATACATACCAACACACATACATACATACAAACAACCAATTACACATACAATATATATAGATATTTATTACATAAGCTATATTCTATACAAATTCATTATTATGAATGATATAGAGATAGAAAGCTTATTATATAAAAGTTTCAGACCATTATATACCTTACGTTATATTATGTTGGTATGAATATTTAACGTTGTATCATGTTGATTTATGGCTATTATTATTATTATTAAAATTATTATACATTATAAAAATGATAAAATAAATAAAAATTGTCACCTTTGAATAGAGCTTAGTTCGTAGAGTGTTCACACAAATTTTTTTATAATCACAGCTGGTTTCATTTGAAAATGTTTTTAAACTCATCATGTACAGAGGAGATGTATATACGCATACAAAAACGCATACATACAAACACACACACACACACACACGCACATAGATTTTTTTAAATTGTTACTACATTTTAAAACTGTTCAAAGGTCGTTGTTTTCTATGGTAGTCATTTTTGAATTCTGTTTTACATAAGTAAACATGTTGGTATGTATTTATGTGTTTGTGTGTGTGTGTGTCTGTGTCGCATGTACGTGTGTAAGAATGCAAATTCATATATTGATATCTCGCAAACACTCCACAATTTTTATTTATAACATTTACAGATCAGAGTTGAATTTATTTATAAAAATAGAAACACACAGAGAGAGAGAGAGAGAGAGAGAGAGAGAGAGAGAGAGAGAGAGAGAGAGAGGAGAGAGAGAGAGAGAAGAGAGAGAGAGAGAGAGAGAGAGACATAAATACAGCACAATGAATAACAACAACAACGATCATAAGTAAAAAATTTCAACATTGTCACCGAGGTTATTTGCAATCCATCGATCAATCAATCATTCATTCATTTTTTCATTTCTTCATTCTTTTATTCATTCACTCACTCACTCATTCATTCCTTCAATCAATCAACCAATTATAATCAATTAATAGGCATATCTTCTTCATAAATTTCTTCACGCTGAACAACATCATCATCATCGTCGTCGTTGTTGTTGCCTTTCTTTAGTATCTTTGGTTCCTTATATTCGATATTCAGCGCACTGTAGATAGAAATAATTAATTTTTTATCCATGTAGAACGTGGGTTCCACGTTTGGCTGTCTCTTCTTCAACTCCTCTATGCAACTATGTGCCTGTATGTTTGTGAGTTTGTATGTTTGTTTGTATGTTTGTATGTATGTTTGTATGTATGTTTGTTTGTATGTATGTTTGTTTGTATGTTTGTTTGTGTGTATGTTTGTTTGTTTGTGTGTGTGCGTGTGTAAGTGTGTTTACTTATGTGTATATATAAGAAATTTAACCTTTTTCCATTTGCCAGTTTTAGCGAAGTAGCCCGTCATATATGCCAAGACGTCACCTACCTGAATGCATGAATGAATAAATGAGCGAATGAATGAATAAATGAATTATTTAAATAATAAATGACTAAATGTGAATGAATTAATAACCTAGTGAATTGTTTATAAACTGAAAAAACAAACGAACGATTGAACATAAATAAATAAATGAACAAATAGATGAACAAACGAACGAATGCATAGACAAATGGATGAATTAATAAATGAACAAACAAACCAATAAATGAATGAATGAATGAACGAACGAACGAATGAATGAATGAACGAACGAACGAATGGGAGAATGAAACCTTAACGTATTCATCACATCTGGGCTCGGACAGCAGGGCCTGGCACACTTGCATGGATTCTTCGCCGCCAACACTGACGAACATTCAATCAAACAATCTTGCTATCCTTATTTCATTAATCAAAAAATAGCAAAAAGAACGAGAGAGAAAAAAAGAAACAGACAGGCAGACAGACCGAGAGAGCGAGAGAGAGAAAGACGGAGAAAAAGACAAGAATGAGGAAATGAAACAATTGAGATAGACACATGCATAGTTAGACAGACAGAACAGATAGACAGGCATACATACATGCATACATACATACATACGTATCTGATAGATGGATTGTTAGATAGATATAAAAGAAAGAAAAACCCAAACCTTTTAGCTTTCACGAATTTGTTAATAATAGTCATCCTCTCTTTCAAACGATTCAACTTAACATCAAGACCAGCTGCACTGGCGTTGAGATCGTTACTGATGCTATCTTCATTCGATGTTGTCGGCTTACACCTGCTCAGGCACTTGTATGCCTCGCTCAGCGCTCCCAACGCCTTCTCATAATCTTTATACTCGTCTATCTCTAACTAGAGTAGCATGACGAAAAGTTCATTTTTTTCTGAGAAATTTTTCAGACAAAGAGAAATTAAATATTCATGTAATACTACTGCTACTGCTACTACACTTACTACTGCTACTACTATGACCACTACTACTACTACTACTACTACTACTACTCTAGTACCACCACTACTACTACTACTACCACTACTACTACTACCACTACTGCAACAACAACAATAATAATTATAATACTTTTAACAATTAGAAGATCAATATTAATAACAACAACTACAACAACAACAACAGTAAGAAACGAAAATTCACTGGCGAAAATCTAGCGAAGTTATGTGGTCCGGGCGACGAACCTGCGCGCACGCTCCGTAGAAGCCGGCCAGGTGCTCCGGCGACCGGCCTCTCGTGTAAAAATTAATTATGTTCTTCATGATCTCAGGATCTTTTTGCCAGTCCAAAGACTGTAAATAGTGGCCCGCCATTATGTAGATCTCTTTTTGGCGGGAAACATTCGCGAAGAAACAAATCCGCTCCGTGTCACCTGATTTCAATAAAGCTTTCATCGCCTGTTCAATGTTTTTATTATTGTTGTTGTTGTAGTTGTTGTGGTTGTTGTTGTTGGTAAGGATAGTAGATTGATAGCAGCAGCGGAAGCAACCACAGCAGCAGCAGCAGAAGCAGCAGTAGCAACCGCAGTAGCCACAGCAGCAGCAATGGTGTTATTAGTAGTAAATAAATCAATGCTTTAGTAATAGAAGCAAATAAAGAAAAAGATGATGAATACTTTAATTTTGTTTCCTGACTGAGTAAACTTCTTCGTAGCTAGGTGGTACTGCCTCTGCTCCATGCAGATATCTCCGATGCCTATCATATCACACATACGTTCGTCTATTACATAGCACGCACGCTCACACATACACACACGCACACACATACACACACGCACACACATAACACGTGAGACGAAATAAAACTTGATTTAGAAAGAAAAATTTCGTTAGAAATAAATGCTGTAGAGTTTACTGAAGTGAAATTTTATGAAAGATACAAGTATACATACATAAATACGCACATACAAACACACACAAACACACACACACTAACACACACACACACATACTCTTACTTTCAAGCATTCTAGAACGTTCCTCAGTGTTAATGTTGGCATCATTCTCAGGCGGGCTCAATTTCTCAACCAAATCCTCATTCATCTGAACGTGTTTCTCTCTACAGATCCTCAAACATTCACCGTACTACAAAGAAAAACATTTATTTTATTTTAGTAAATATTATTACTATTATAATTATAATTATTATTAGTAGTAGCAGCAGTAGCAGCAGTAGTAGCAGCAGTAGTAGCAGCAGTAGTAAAAGATCACTACTCATGCTATTCGACAAGCGTTATTCACACGAATTCAGAGTGAAACATCTAAAATAATTACTTTCTTAGCCGAAGCCAACAAATCGACTGCTCGGTCGAACTGCGAATTGTCGATAAAAAACTCGGCACATCTCTGCAGTAAAAGCGGGTCGGTATTCTCGTCAAAAGATTCAGAGATCGTCTGCAGTGCGCTGAATTGTTTGGCGCCGAATGCCAGCTCCAACGCCTTTGAAGAATAACCGGCCTGTTGGTCGGAAGGATGAATGGATGGATGAATGAACGTGAATGGTAGAATGAATGAATGAATGAATGAATGAATGAATACATCTGTAAATGAATTAATGAATTGTGAATGAATGAAAAAATGTGTGAATATATGAATGAATTAGTACACAAATAAACAATACCACCTTTAACAAAACCATGCAATCATTCATTAATTCACAAATCCGTCTATTTATTCATTCGCCATTCACTCATTCATTCATTCACTCATTCATTCACTCATTCATTCACTCATTCATTCACTCATTCATTCACCTTATGGTAGAGAAGTGTGGCCTTCTCTTCGAAGCCCCTCCTAGCTTCGTAGTACCTTGCAGCCTCCAGCATGTCATCAGTGTTACCCATTATAGCCATGTTCAACAATTTATCGTCGAAACTGTGGTCCTTCGAATGAAAGAATGAACGAACGATTGAATGAATGGATGAACGAACGAACGAACAAATGAATGAATGGGTCAATGAGTGTATCAATGAATGAATGAACAAAAAAACGAATGAACGAAAGAAAAAAACAAAAACAAAGCAAACAGCTATAAGAAGATGGATACAGGCATGATTTAAGAACAGCGCGGACAGACCTTGCAGAGCCTGATAGCATTGCCGAAAGCTTGGGCCCGGTTGTAGTAACTGATGGCCTCTTGCATCTTTCCGGCCCTCTCAAAATGTCTGCCAACCCAGTAGCAAGCCGCCCTGTCCTGGCTCTCAACGCACACTCCAGCTGCCTGAGTGAGAGATCGAACGAAGGAAGGAATGAATGAATGAATGAGTGAGAAAATGAATTGGTAAATATTGAATGAATTAATGAATGAATGAATGAGTGAATGAATGGATGAATGAATGAGTGAACAAACGAAACATCACATAACAGAACCAAAGAACCTTAGTGACGTCATCCATCGCGCAATATAAACGCGCCAGCGATAGATGATCTTTGGATTTCTCGTAAAATTTAATGGCCTCTTCCGTGTTTCCCTTATCTTCGTTATACTGGGCCCACCATCTTAATATTGATCTGCACGAACGAACGAATGAATGAATGAATGAATGAAATAATGAACGAACGAATGAATGAATGAATGAATGAACGAATGAATGAATGAAAGAACGAACGAAAGAATGAATTTCTACCTACTTATCATTAGACTTGTGGACGTAATTCTCAAGTGACTTGATGTCATTCAACCACATGTGCGGAACTTCAAAGCCGTGGTTCTCAGATTTTTCGAAACTTTTTCACAGTAGTTCATTCATTTATTTTCATTCATCCATTCATTCATTCATTCATTCGTTCATTCATTCATTCATTCATTCAAAAACGAAAGACAAAACCACTTCAATTTGAACACTAACTACACAGCAGCCTCCTGAAACTTGCCAGCACCTTCTAGATACTTGGCGTAGTTGTAATTGGTGTTACGTAAGTTAATTCGGTCGTGTGTCTCGGCTACTGATAAAGCCTTTTTGGTGAGAAATTATTATTTGTTTATGTGTGTATTTATTTGTTTATTTATTTTTCATTTATTTATCTACTCATTCACTCATTAGCTCGTTCGTTAATATAACACGGTGGTAAATCGTTCGTTCGTTCACTCATTCATCCATCCATTCATCCATCTACCCCTCAATTAAACATTTATTTATGAATAAATTATTATTTAATTTTGAATTCTAAATTCTGAACGCACCTTATCCCACTGTGACGTCTGTTGGTAGAGTTTATTGAGCAGATCATACCTCTTGCAATTCTTCAACAACCTTTCGGCATCCTCCTACATTATTTGTTGCAGCAGCAGTAGTAGCAGCAGCAGTAGTAGCAGCAGCAGTGGTAGAAGCAGCAGTAGTAGTAGCAGCAGCAGTAGTAGCAGTAGCAGTAGTAGCAGTGGTAGCAGCAGCAGCAGTAGTAGTAGCAGCAGCAGTAGTAGCAGCAGCAGTAGCAGTAACAGCAGTAGTAATGGTAGTTGAAATAGTGGTAGAATCAATCAATCGTTCAATCACTCGCTCAAACAACCAACAAACCAGCCAAGAAATAAAGCGAACTGAGACTAACAATCAGCCCAAGATGGACGGCCAAGCAAGCAATCTGTGCATCGACTTGGGGTTCCTTCTGGACACTTTCCCTCAGTAATTTGGCCGCCCACGGGTTCTTCATGTTGCCCAAACACACCTTCGCCACATCCAGCCTTCGAGTTTTCACGCACATCTTTGCCATGTTCTCCCAAACTACTTCGCTGTCATACCGTAGATTAGTGGATGGACGGACGGATGAATGAATGAATGGGTAGATGGATAGATTGATTGATAAGATGAATAAATGAATGAAAATTATAAACGAATGAACCTCTTAATAAGCTTAATAGCTTTAAAAGCTTCATCCATATCACCGAGCGTTAAATGGAAACTGAAGTTAAGCATGGCATGCCTCGCTTCGCTGACGTTAAGGTCAAGACCAATGAAGTTTCTATGTATGCGTCTGCATGTTGCTGATTCTTTGCTTGGGGGTTGAGCGAAAATAGAGTGATGTTGATGTTGTTGGTGGTGATGATGATGGTTGTTGAATGTTGTTGTTGATGATGGTTTCAACTGCTGTTGTTGCTGTTGTTGTTGTTGTTTGATTGATGGTCGAAATATCTGCAATGGAATGAATCAATCAACCAATCAATCAATCAATCAACCAATCAATCAACCAATCAATCAACCAATCAATGATTGATTGAAGAAAATAAGGATGAGGTGTACTCGTAAAAAAGAAATAACATCAAAAAAAAATATAAATCCCACCTTATTGATCGTGAAATAATAATAGGGAATATTAATGGCGATGAGTTTAGAACAATGTTGATCTCTCGAATAATGGTCCTGAACGAGCACCCCGTGCTCGGAGGTGCAAAACAAGGTGATGACCATGACATCTATCTAAACTCAGATTATATTTACACATTGACAACATTAAGCTAATATGAAATCATTTGAAGAAAATACTAACAATATCATTTCCAGAGGTGATACGATCATCCTCATCAACTTTATCATCATTATCATCACCCTTATTATTATTTTTCTTATTTTTGATCTTTTTCTCTGGGGTCCAGTTATATTTGGCCTCACAGACGAAAGATTTGACGTCATCAACGTCCCAGTGGTGGGATAGGGGAAATCTGCCGGATATGTCCTTCGCTGATTGGCTGCGAGTACTGTGGTGATGACGACGATGATGATGATGATGATAAAGATGATGATGACGATTATGATGACGATTTCTAACAATAGTAACCAAAAAAAGCATGATATCTGATTGTCAGCCAGGCATTAAAGCAATGCAAAATCAATAAAAACAGCCTTCTAACAAACGAAGAATAATAATAATAACATTATTATTATTATATTATTATCATTACTATCATTGTTGCTATTATTTACAGTTTATTTGAAAAAACGAACAAAATACATCATTACGTCTACACTAAGAGAAGAGAACTTCAATTTTCAATCTTAAGTGATTAAAAATCATGTAATCATTAATTGATTAATCTGTCGGTTAATTAACTAGCCAAATAATTAACCGACCGATTAATTAACCGACCAATCAACAAATTCAAAGTTATTAACCGATAGTTGTTAGAATTAACATTAAACAACATACTAGCAAGAATTATTACCACACTTTAATGTTATTTTAAAATCAGGAACCGCAAAAATTCGCATAAATTAGAAAAAAATTACCCACATGACTGGCAATAAAAGAACCATGCATAAATTAGCATAATTACATAATAAGTAGCAGTAATTGGAGTAGTTAGTAATCATAAATTTGCATAAATTTGCATATAGTAACATTCAAACCGTGCAATTTTGTTAGCTAACAACGATGCTATATTTATTTATCTGAACATGCAAATATTGAAAAAAAAGATGCAACATTATTATTTTTAATAATAATAACAGTCATAATAATAATAATTAATAATAATAATATTATAATAATTATTATTATTATATATTCAAAATCCGTATTATTAATAATTCTCGTCATTCAAAACACTAACACTCTTGATTTGGTTCTGAAATAAGTTTGGGGGAAAAAACGAACTATAAAAACGAATTATTATTATTATTATTATTATTGTTTGTAGTAGTAGCAGCAGTTGTAGTAGTAGAAGTAGCAGCAGCAGTAGTAGCGATAGAAACAATATCAGCATTATTAAAATAGTAAGAAAGTCTGAAATTCTAAATTTCAAGACACACACACACATACATATTAACACACACACACACACACACACACACACACACACACACACACACACACACACACATACTAACACACACACACACATACATACTAACACACACACACACAAACGTACATCCTAACACGTACACGCACGTACACGCATACACGCACAAACACATGCACAAAATAAAAATAGAAATGATAAAAAACCTATCTGCCATTTGTGACTGGTCTGTGATTGGGACCTGCTGGTCATCTATGTCGTCCTTCCCAGTTTCAAAGTTGAAGTACTGCACGCTGTTCGTCTCAGTATCCCAAATATGAAGGCACGGATCTGTGACGTCATTTTTCTAAATGGATGGATAGATGGATGGTTTGGTGGGAGAATGAAAGAGCGTTGGTACGGTTAAATAAAAAGACTAAATACGAATGAATGAACGAACGAACGAGCGAACGAACGAATGAACTAACAATAGAATAAAAGAATAAATGAACGAATGAATGAACAAATCTCCTACCTTCATAACGATCAGACTGACTTTACTACCATTATTGTTGCTCTTGGCAGACACGATCGACTTGAACTGGTCGATGATTTCGTTGAACTGCTTAGCTTCAGTGTGTTGTTTAACTTCTCTATTTAGGAATAATTAAAATAATAATAAAAATAATCACCACCATTAAGATCATCATCATCATCATTAGCAGCAACAGCTGTAGTGGTAGCAGCAGTAGTGGTAGTAGTAGATGTTTGATAAGAAGAGGAAGAACCTTCTAGAAAGGTCGAAAACTTTGACGTATCCGGTGTTCGTTGCGACAGTTAAGTAACTCCCACAGACGTCCATGCAGGTCAGCTCGTCGTCAGGATTTGGCAGTGGGAGTAGTTGCTTCACTGTTCCCTATGTGTGTGTGCGTGTGTGTGCGTGCGTGCAATCTACAAAACAAAAAACACATAATCTAAAATCAACAATCAGCATGAAAGAGAGAGAGAAAAAAAAGGGAGAGAAAAAAAGAGAAAGAGAGAGAGAGAAAGAGAGAGAGAGAGAGAGAGAGAGAGAGACAAAGGGAGAAAGAATAAAGAACCAAAATCCTAAAAATAGAAACCTGGAAGTTCCTGACTTGAATCTTGCCCGGCTCCGTAGCGAATAAATTCTGTTGGTGCATGCAGAGGTTGTTTGAGGTGCTATCGAATGCCCCCACCACCTTCAGCATCTTCTCGCTCCCGCTGATGTCATACACCACCACCTTCTTGCCATTCGATACTGCCAAGTTGTCCTGGAGTATTTAGAAAAATTATTTTTAATTATTTTTAAAAGAGAGAGAGTAGAAAAATAGAAAAAAATGATATAAAGATAGATAGATAGTAATAATAATTAAAACTATAATTACAATTAATAATGTTAATATTTATAATTCACTAACACGAGTGCAGCACATCAATCTAATTTGGATGTCCGTTTTCAGGTTGAAATGCGTGTTGCTCTGGTAATCGTCCAGCGATAGTAACATGCTGCCTATTTGAACGACTGCTAGCTACATGGTCGGATGGTTGGATGAATGAATGGATGAATGATTGAATAAATGAATGAATGAGTGAATGAATGAATGAATGAATGAATAAATGAATGAATGAATGAATAAACGAACGAACGAACGAACGAATGAACGAACGAACGAACGAGCGAAAAATGATTGAATGAATGATAGAGTGACCTGTCCAAAACAAGCAGCGGCAGACTCTTGTTCATCCAAGATGTACAAGCTGTCTCTAGTATTGACTGCTAACAAATTTCTACTCGATCCAAACTGGAAATTGAATTAAATTTCACAAAAATAACAGACGACCAATCACGTTAATTATAGTTGCAATTGGGATCATAATTATTATTATAATTATTATTATTAATCATAAAGTTATTGTACCCCTATATCTAGTATAATGCCAGAAACGTTAGAAACATTCTGCAGCAGCCAATCATCTTTTGGCTCCGCCCCCTTTTTTCTGTTCTTGACCAATGGGGTACGAGTATATTTCCACTGTACCACTTTGCCCTGATCCGTACCACACGCCAGAGTTTCTTCATTTTGGCAAAAAAATTAAAAAATTGAAAGAAGGATTTATATTATAGGGAAATTAGGAAGAAAAAAAGAGTTCGGATGTTCACACACCCACACACACACGCACACACCCACACACGCACAACGCGTATACACATTTTTATGTACGAACAATCTAGAATTAGATTTCAGTATTAATTAGTAAATTTGCAGATAAATAAATGCGAGGGCTTGAAAAAAATTACAGAAACCTTTGTTTGAGAAAGATATAGAAGTAACAAGACCCATGTTGTTGCTGCTGCTACTGCTGCTGCTGTTGTTGTTGTTGTTGTTGATGACGTCACCGTCGTCGTTTGCAGCGTTGGCGTCATTTAGATTCAGTACGTAATTCTCATCATTGTCGATATCCCACAGCCTGCTCATTCAATTGCATTTCAATTTAAGTGCAATGGTCGTTGCAGCTGTAACAACAACAACAGCAGCTGTAACAACAACAACAACAACAACAACAACAACGACGACGACGACGACAACAATAATAATAATGAAGATGATGATGATGAGGAGGAGGAGGATGATAACTTGATGTGTCTTTCTCCCGTGCAAGTTGCGAGCAATCCTCTCCCGGCCCAAACCATGTCTGTCGTCTTCGTCTGCCCACTTATTTTAACCTGAAAATAATTATGATAAAACGGCAATAATTAAATGATAATCTGATGGCCTAATTGTCAAGGTTTCTGGCGCTAATAACGCAGTAGCCGCGTTTGAATACAATGAAAAACAATTCATTCCCGGCGGCTGTCTCATGCAATGTGAGTGATTTGTTGAGTGTGTCTGTGTGTGTGTGTTTGTGTGTGCGTCTCTGTTTGTGTGTGTGTATTGTGTGTGTGTGTGTGTGTCTCTATTTGTGTGTGTATTGTGTGTGTGTGTATTGTGTGTGTGTGTATTGTGTGTGTGTATTGTGTGTGTGTGTGTGTGTTTGTGTGTGTGTGCGATGATAGCTCTGAGAAAAAGTTAAAGAGATAGTGGTGAATTGATGACGAAACAATAATGACGTAATTGTAAGGCCTACGCTCATGATGTTGGTAGCATCCCTGCTTTCTGGATCGACACTGGAGAGAGTGACCATCATGTCGGAAGATAACGTTACCAGGATGTTCTTCTCGTCGTAAAACAATAATTTTTTAATCTGACCCTGAACTTTGAACTTTTCAACCACTGATGGCTGGTAGTCGATGTAGTGGACTCTTCCTGTAAATGTGAGTGTGTGTGAGTGTGGTGAGAGAGAGAGAGAGAGAGAGAGAGAGGGAGAGAGAGAGAAAGAGAATTAATTTGGGTAGCGAACGTGTGTGATTATGTTCACCACGGTAAAATTATATTACGATCGGCATAATTTTGAGCATAATTTAATGTAATTATTCTTACCATCAGAACCCCCGATAAAAAAGGTCAACCCCTCCTGCCAACTTAACGCACTGTTCCCTAATTTGGATGGAGGTTTCTTCCAGGTGAACATGTCGAGAGCTGACTGATCGCCACTGACGGCCAACTTCGCCAGGTTATGAAGATCTCTGTGCAAATGAATGTTAGTGCTGTTGGTGTCTATTGCTGGTGGGCAGAATCAAATCAGACGAGTTCAAATCAAATGATTTTAAAAGCCCTCGTACAAGTTAGGATCTTGAGCTGGCGGTTGGATGGGGACGAGATGCGTCGGCTGGTCGTTTAGTGAATGCTGCATCAGAGTGGTGCTGCTTAGTCTACCTTTGCCATCTACTTTCCATATTATCAATAATCCCTCCTATAAGTATCGCAATAATCGCGAATAATTATTGAATGAATTTGAACATGTAAAAAGTGTTTTGTACAGTTTTCGAATGATTTCTAAATAATTTTTAATAAATTTTAGACAATTCTGAACTATTTTGGAATGATATAGAAATAATTTTAAATAATTAATTTATTTTAACTTGATTTTATTTTAAAATTTAGAAAAAAATATTAACAGCATCCCCAGTGAGGAGCTGGGATCCACCAGTCGACCAGTGCATGACACAGATTGAGGACTGGTGAGTTTTTGCCGATTCACTAATTTCGTTGTCGTTTATGTTCTGCGTGGTTATTTCCCCAGTGCTCCAACCGACTGCCAAAACTTTTTTGCTCGGGTGCCAGGCTAAACATGTAGCTGGCATGGTTTTACGCTGCACCGAATTCTGTAATCTCTCGCCCTGGTTGTGATAAGAAGAAGAACCGGCCAATCAGTTATGTTATAAACCAATCAATCAATCAACAACCAATCATGATCAATCAACCAATCAATTAACAACCAATCAATCAACAACCAACCAACGAATCAATCAATCAGTTATCAAATCAACTTATAAATCGACCAATCTAACCTCTTCTTGAAAGACGGCCACAACTTGACCCTGAACAGGGCTGTAGCTAGTGACGGCCAATAATTTAAACGTGCCATGCCAAGCAAAATCAACAAACTTCTCGTCACTGGAATGCGATTGAATTTGATTATCGAAAAACACTGTCATCGCCGTTCTATTTTTTTATTAATCGCTTGATCGAGTTTTAGGTTCCGGTTTTACAAATCGATTTTTATTAATTTAGAATTTAAGAAATAACTCTTTTTTTATAGAAATTATAAACCTATACTATAGATTTATAACTTTTATTATATGCTATAAGACATAAGTCCCTGCTGTACATATACAAATATTTAGAATTAGAAAAGAATAGATAGACAAATATTGAAATATAGTACACATATGTTTAAATAATTTATTCTGAAAAATGTATTTAAATATTGAAACAATTAATTAATTATTTATTTATTTAATTAACAAGATATTTGCGAAATGAATGACGAATAAAATAGAATAAATGACATTTATTTGTTATTTTATTGACAATAATTTGAGTCTATAGCAACGTAGATTGTCAACTAAAAGTGAATCGAAGTAAAAAAAGTGTGGAAGACTGCGGGTTTTGTGTTTGTTTGTAGAATATGTGTGTTTATGTATATATATATATATATATATATATATATATATATATATATATATATATATACATCAAAGTTCAATTTTACAACACCAAAATTAATTTTTACAACGTCAAAGTTCATCTTGACAAAGTCAATATTTCCCTATATATACAGCGAGGAGCACTGATGATGATTCATTCGGAATCGAAATATGGCCTTATTT